GAAAAAGTTTCCGTGAAGGCTAGCAGTCTTAGTGAACTTGATTCCATGACCCAAACCATTGCTTTGCTAAGTGATGCCTATGGTGCAGAAGGAGAACTTGGCATTGTCGTATCTGAGAAGTTTATGGAACATGATGCTTATTCTATGTTTGATGCCTTGATGAGTGGGGCTGGTGGAGCTGTTGCCATGGCCGATTTTTTCTCTACTCCTTTTGGGACTTCCCATAACGTGTTCCCTCCTGTAATTGAAGCTTCTTCCGCACTCTATCATTTGCTTTCCGTTGTTGATTTGCCTCTTCATAATCATCTTGTTGAGCTAGGCATTGAGCCCCAGTATTTTGCCCTTCGCTGGCTAAGGCTCCTATTTGGTCGTGAATTTTCACTTGAAGTTCTTTTGGTGATCTGGGATGAAATTTTCTCTCGTGAAAATAACATTTTTAAGAAACCAGCTGATAATGATGCTGAGTCCAACTTTGGAGTTCTCGATTCACCTAGGGGTGCATTCATTTCCGCTATGGCAGTTTCAATGATACTTTATTTGCGGTCTTCTTTGCTTGCATCAGAGAATGCTACCACCTGTCTTCAGAGATTGTTGAATTTTCCAGACGATGTAAATCTTGTTAAGCTGACAGAAAAGGCAAAATCTTTGCAGATTCTGGCAGTAGATGAAAATAACTCAACCTCCCTGCCGTATCATCAGTGGTTGCATGAAGGGAGTAAATTAGGGATTACTAGGGCTCATAGCCTTTCCTTAGATTCAACTTCTCCTAGAACTCCACTGAATATAGTACCCGAGAGCTACTGGGAAGAGAAGTGGAGAGTTTTTCACAAGGAAGAAGATAACAAGCAACATGATGTCGAAAAACAAGTTCCAAACCACAGAAAGGGTTGGTCAGAGAAAGTAAGATTGCGCCTGTCTAGAACTGAATCTGACCCATCACCATCTAAGGTTGACAGAAAAAAAGCCCCCAAGCCATCTGTTAGGAGAAATTTGTTGGAAGATCTCGTACGGCAGCTTGGATTGGATGAAGATGCAGATATAATACAGTGCAATGAAGATATCAATTATGATCCAGTTGA